ATAAGAAAACTTCAAAACCTTGCTCTGCAATTATGAGATTCAAAAGAAAAGATTTTTTTTCCCAATCATTCTACATAAAAAGGCCTGAATCAGAGCCCAGCAGTGCACAAATATTACTCATGTCATTGACACTAAGAAAAGGGAAGCTGTGAATAAAAAATGTTAAAAATGAACACAAGGAGCATTGTTTGCATATCAGAAAAATTAATCTACATAGAGAAGTGTAAGAGCCTGCAATTCAGAAAGCAAAGAATTAGGACAGCCCAGCTGAGAATAATTTTCTAGCCAGTTAATTTAATTGCATAAATCATTCCTTTGTTAGCAATAAAGAGATATAATTAAAATGAGATTGCTTCTCATTTCTATTCTCTGGAAACTAAAGGAATTGATTTTGGGGAAAGCATTCTTCCAAATACCAGATCGGCAAATTACATTTACCTTTTTAGAAAGGCTAAATTATTTTGCGCTAATATCATGGAGGGTTTAATTAATTATAGATCTGCCATATGATCTTAAAGAAATAATTTACTTAATGCTCACAGAAGAGAAGTTTGTAAGTGCATGTATCCCTCTGATAGATGGTGTGCACATTTTTACAAACAGGTCACAAGTTGAACAGGTGGCTGTCAGGAGAAATAGGAGGAAATATAATAAATTTTTAAAGATGGGGGATGGTTTGTTAAGAGATATTAAAGCACTGCTTCCTATCTATTGGCACATACCTGGATTACTGTTCCTTGAGCACCTGTAAATTGGGTTTTCTTTTAAATATTGTAATGATGGTTGTTTTCTATCCACAAATCTTCAGGGCTCAATAAGCAGTAACAGGTTAATAACAGAACCAGTCAGAGAGAAAAAAAAAAAACATGAATCCCACCAATTAAAACAGAATATTGCTTCTGCTGAATACTGCAGGGGTTGGCCACTGACAGGGCTTTACAAGGCTGTAACACACAGATCTACACATGGAAATAGAGCATACAACACTCTGTAGGCTCTGCTCGTTCCCCCAGAGGGGACCCAAGCAATGGGTCTAAAAGGGACTGAAAATATCCCACTCTGCCTGCCTACCACACACCCCAGCACTGCACCCACAGTCCTAAGACCTGCAGTAAAAACAAAGGCCAATGGACGTGACCAGCATTCCAGCTTCAACCAACAGAAATGCAGAGGAGGGTTCCCAGAAGTAAGTAGAAGTCTCCCCAAATCTTCATATGCCCTCAGTTTTTGTACTGCATTAGCAAGGGGTAAAACAGCAGCTTGCAAGTTGGTATCCAACTTGCAAGAGCTCCTTTGGAGCTCTCCTACCCCAGATACAGTTAAACATACATACATAATTTCATGGAATTGTACTGAAAGGACAAGAAGTAATGGATTCAGACTCAGAGGAGAAATTTACATTGGATGTATGGAAGAAATTCTTCCCTCTGAGGGCAGTGAGGCCCTGGCACAGGTTGCCCAGAGAAACCTGTGGACACTCCATTCCTGGAAGCATTCAAGGCCAGGTTGGATGGAGCCCCGAGCAACCTGGTCTAGTGGAAGGTGTCCCTGCCCATGGCAGGGGGTGGGAACAAGACAATCTTCAAGGTCCCTTCCAACCCAAAAAATTCCATGATTCTGTGATAAGATACTAAGCATCATTTGAGATACCTGCCTTCCATTACCAGCCTCTCTTTGTAATAATTTACCACACACGGTACCTCAGGTACCAAGGGAGGCAATTCTCCCTCTTCCATTACCCCTCCAAGAACAGCTCCTTTTGCCTGCCAGGGGCTTCAGCAGAGGCAAGGATGGAGCAAAGGGTGGGGCTGCTCTGGGCAGAAGATGGACAACAGAATCCGCTTCCTCTCTGTTGTACCAGGAGGGTTCTCTCACATCCACTCCCTCTGCTTCTCTCAACAAAGAACAGACACTCCTTTCTACATATTTGAGACCAGTAGCCATCTCATGGATTTTTGCCATGTTGCTGACTCTCTCAGGTGTCTTTTTTGTCAGGTAAAAGCCACCATCCTTCCACCTTTCTCCACAAGAAACCTCCCCTGCCATCAAGCATTCCCATTCCCCAAATCTGAGGCTATTCAACAAGCAGAATACTAGGCACAAATTTAAGTCAGGCACAAATTTAAAACAGGCTACTTTGATGAACTCTCCAAATGGTCACAAGAATTTTTCCACAGATCTCTGACAGGCACTAAGCTGTGTCATTTCCATGGAGAACATATCCTTACGCAGCAAGCCCTGCAGGCTATGGAACATCTCAGCAATGTACCTGCCAGGCAGGTACAAGTTCCCAGTACCAGCTTAGCCCATCCTCTCTGGGATCTACAGGGAACCGAAGCTCCCCAGGATCAGCACACCTGGGAAGTTCATCACACACAAACTGCCTTGTAAGTTTTTTTCCTTTTCTGTGTGCTTTGGAACAGGGGAACAGAACAGGAACAACTGTGTCCCAGGGACATCATTCCCCACGGAGACCACTATGGCATGGTGACAACACACTCATCACTAGAGAGGATGCTGAGAAGGAGAGCAGGTAAGTCGAGAAAGGAGAGGGCTCTGCATGCAAGAGTTAAATAGCAGATAGATTAGATCTCATCATTTGAGTTTTCCAGGAAAAGTATTGTGTTGCTATGGAAACCTCACATAACCTGGGTTTTCCCTTCTTTTGTTTGCTCATTTTCTACAAACACTGGCCTCATCCAGTCCTCTCCTGCTGGACTTATAGCTTAAAAAAACAACATTTTTTTTTCTCTAATGCCCATTTTTCTTTGCAAGTACGTTTTTCAGTGCACTGCCTTTCACAATATCACTGTTCCAACCTCCCAACTCCTTTTCGCAGTAAGTACTGTATGATATGCTACCCATTAGGAAACTGTGTTTCTAAACACTTTGTTCTCTTTCTGCCTGGGGAAAAAGGGACAAAAGCCTCATAGTAGTAAAACTGAGGTTTTATTCAGTGGAAAAAAACCACATCTACAACCTCCCTTCTCCCAGAGTCAACATGCACATCTAGTGATTCTTTTTTGGTACTTGTAAGTACCTGTTTCACCCAAGGCATTGCCTAGAGCGTTTACCTCCAAATTTCAACAGCTCTACTCATGTACCTTCCATGTAGAGAGACCAAACTCAAAAAGCAGCACTGCAGGGCAAAGACCATCAGGAACAGGCAGCAAAAAGGGTCATATCCTTTGGTGGAAACATGTCAGTAAGTTTTAACTTCTAGTTTACCTGGTCCTGGCCAGTCCTAGAATATTCAAGTGTCAAGCTGCAAAGCTGTTATCCTGAAGCCGCAGATTCAGCAAGTTTCCTTCGGCTTCACATGTCAGAAATGGAACATGAATCCACAGCCACTCTCCGTGCCAACACCCCCACAAAGTGGCCAACACACTAGCTCCTCTTCCAGCTCATCCCATGCCACAGCAAGAGGGTCTCAGAGGTGAGAATACAAACCTTGCTCACCTAACCCAGCCCTGCCCACCTCACCCAAAGCATAACAGAAATTGGGCTTCAGAGACAGAGCTCTAAAGATCTTTAGAGCTACACTCTGGAGCAAAGGCAAAATAGAGGAGTGATAAAGAGGATTCCTGCCTTCCCAAGAAAAGCAGCAGCATGCTGGGGAAAAGGTATCACAAAGCCTCTTCAAGTGTTGTGCTCACTTGCTGTGCCAAGCCATAATCTGAGCTCCCAACACACTTCCCATCTTACTTTTTCTATTTGCAAAGATACCGATGTTGGTTTAAATTCTTTTAAAAATTGCTTAAAGAATATTGTTAGTAACTCAACACATTTCAAAACAAGTGTGGCCAGTCCAAGCAGTACAATGCAATCTTGCTACAATTTATGTCATATATATTATGTATTACACTTAAGCATATAAAAAAAAATTTAAACTGCATATTTAAGCAGTAGTTTAGACAGAAAGTCAAAATTTTCTTGTTAATTTTTTTTTTAGTTTAACACTGCCCTCTTGAGGGGAAGAGTTGTATTGCCTTAGCAAAGCCATCCTTCCTTCCCTGCTTTTCAGGCCACACTAAATTCCCCTCACTGCCATATGGTTCAAGGTGGGTAGAAGTTTTTAAAAGACAGTAGACTCACACCTAGGAATCAATAATTTCTAGATATAAATAAAACATAAGCAAAGTGTATTTTAAGTACTTTAGGTAAAAATAGACAGGTGACTGTGAAGGCACAAGAGCCTATTGGAAATACAAAAACCTGTCCCTTGAAATCAACAGTTTTCTTTCTTCATGAATTGCAGCCTTTTATTTTATCCAACAGCCAGAGTTGCAAAACCTCCGAGAGCAGGAACCAGAATCCAGCTTTTTCTTTGTGCTGCAAATTCCTAGTCAGTGGGATACACAAGTATCATCTCTACAACCTAGGAATCTTCATCTGCTGGTTGGAGTAATCCCTTGTAGTATCTATTGGAAGCTTTTGGGAATACCACTTTAAATCTTTATAGCATCACCAAATAAAAAAATTTAAGTCACACCCCAAAATTGTCAGGGAAATTAAAAGAAGAAATGCTTGGCTTCCAGCATCTTGTCAAGCCGGGATATAGGCTAGACTGACAGCAGGGATATCACAAGAAAGCTCAGGGAAAACTTCAAAGTCATCTGTCTTCAAATGTCACAGTATTGTAAGGCTGGAGATACCTAGAAATTACCACAGCATTTTGCACAGGCATAAAGTTCATTGTTAAGTACTGCAATGAGAAGCCATATCTTCCCATAGATAGTAGCCATGTTACACTACAATCCATCCTATGGCAAAGGAGTGGGGTGATGGGGAGCCCAGCTGGTTCTGGGCTCTCAGTAAACTGAGATACTGAAGATGGAACTTCTTACACCTGGCAGAGGATTAACCACGGACAGTGGGGACCGTGACACAATAGGCTGACATTCCTCACAGGAAACCCACTGTGTCACGGTCCCCACTGTCCGTGGTTAATCCTCTGCCAGGTGTAAGAAGTTCCATCTTCAGTATCTCAGTTTACTGAGAGCCCAGAACCAGCTGGGCTCCCCAACAGTGGGGCATGTGAAGAACAGTGTTTTAATACACAGCACAAGAGGAGATATTAATTTAAAACTCACTTCTGAAGTACAATATCCAATTCTACGTGTGGCCTAGAGCATGAAGCCCAAAGATAATTTTTCTCTGCCTTGTATGTACTCAGCACCTTCAGCTCTTGGAGGAAATCAACCACCTTAGCAGTTACACTTTCCCTAATCTCTGCACAATACAACAGAACTTTGAGATGAAGAGTACACTCACTTAAAAATGTGAAGTGGTGCCACACACACACACCTATCACACAGAATATATTTGGTGGAATTGGAAAACTATGAGAAGCTTTTTACTAGGTTGAAGTTAGCAGATTAACACTGGCTTCCTCTGAAAAGTCTCACACAGAGGAAAGTGGTGGGGTCCCCATCCCTGGAGATATTTACAAGTGTGGTTGTGGCATGTGGGGACACAGTTTAGTGGTGGAGTTGGCAGTGCTGGGTTGGATTCAATATTCAAGGGCTTTTCCAATCTAAACAATTCTATGCTACAGGGCAAGGAAAAAACCCTCAAAGCAAAACCATAGAAGGGTTTGATGCCTCAGTAAGAGCTTTAGAAGCAAGGATCAAGCCCTGACTGACTTAAAGCACCTCTAGGTAATAAGAGATGGAGAAGAATTAAAACTAGAAAGATAGCTTGAATCCTCCTCCTCCCTTCATCATAAAAAGCTGCGTAGCACACATTCCTAAAAATGTACAAAGCAAAGTTTTTCAATTGAAATGTCATGCCAAGTCAGTTAGAGGAGTAGAGAAGGAAGAGACAAGAGAAAAAGGATTAAATATCCTTATATCAACTATTGTAAAAAGGAACATTTTCAAAATAATTAAAACCAGTGTGGCACACTGGGTGCCATCACAATTTAAGGTACAAAATATCAATCTATAATTTAAGAGAATTAAGCACCCTAACACAGACATTTTAATAAACACAGGTGGGGGTTCAATACTCCATAGAGCAGAAATAAATTCAAGGATTGAATGGGACTGTACTGTTAACTAAAATGATACTCCTGTGTGTTTACAGTTACCAATATTTGTGCTGAGAGCAACTTAGCATTTACATGGATTTCATCTTAACTGAGTGATGGTCATGAAATATCACCTGTTACTGACTTATCTTGAACAGTCCATACACTCAGGCCAGACCAAGACACCAGGTCTTCCCAGAGCAAAATTTACAGAACAGTTCCTACAAAAATCAGGATTCTGTCTAAAGTCTTGAGCAATTTGGGGCTAGCAAGAATTGCAGTATTACCACTAAAACCAGGTACTAACTGGAACAATAGAAACTGAGTGTTTTCTTATCCATGTTAGTGAGCTCACAACATGAGGACCTGCAAACAAAGCTAAACGTGTTCTGACATGGTTTTTGAGAAAGCTGGCTTTTGCCTGGAATCATTATCCACCCCATGCAAAGCACAAGCTCTTGAATTCAGGTATGAGGACAAACATAATGAAAGCAGAACACAAATGCAGACAAGCTTAGCAACTACTTCCAGAGGACTGAATGCTAAGCAGCCCTTTCTTTAGTTCAGCAATTCTTTCTTCTCTTGAGGCTTCATAACTCTTTGCTGTCTTAATGAGAGATTCATGACACTTCTCCAATGCAGCCTTCAAAATTTGGTGTATTTCCTAGAAAGAGAAGATGAAGAAAAAAAAAAAAATCCATCAACAAAGTTAAATCCTTACCAAGCATAAGTGTTAAGTAAGTGATGTTGTGGACTCAAGTGATTTCAAAGATCCATAGCTTAAAAAGCACTCACAGAACACAGGGAAGTTACAGAACATGAGAAAAATAAGGGAAGCCACAAACAAAATCCCATTATTATGATTCTGTTGAAATTCTAGTGGTTACAACAAGATGATCAAGCAACCATCACCAGCCCAGCATTCACACCACTCCTGCCCCATTCTGGGTTAACCCGCGTCACCCAGGTCTCTGCCACTGTGACTACTAACCCCTGCCCTCCCAGCATGGACACTACTTCAGTAATGAATAGATAGGATGAGATGCTACAGGCAAACTGTGATCCCCTACTTTCAACCCATCAGGATTTCTGCCTCCTTCCAAGGCAGAGTTGGACAGACATCTTAATAAAACTCTAGGAAGAAAGTATCTGTAATATGGCAAGTGGTCCCGTGTTTGAAGGAGGCTGTTGGGAGGATTGTTGTACTCCCCATACTACAATAACTGTTCCTTTATCCACACAGCTCAAGTTAAAAATCAGTTGGTTGTTTTCCAAGAAGAAGATTTCTTTGTGGGGAGGGGGTAAAAAAACCTCACCTTGGCTTTCATTGCTTCTTTTCCAGCATTCTCCTTCAGCTCCTCAATTTTGTACCTTGTCTGTTGGATTTCCTTGTGAATGGCCATCACTTTATCATAAACAGCACCCCTCTTCTCCTGGACTTTGTTACAATATCTAAAGGTGAGAGAAAAAAGTTACTACTGAGCCATTTGACTAATTGCGGATTAAACTTAACCCCACTACGAGCAATTTTTAGGAGCATGAAACTAGCAGCTTGAAACTAACAATGATGTCTAGAATTTACTTGTTTGGAAATCAATCCAATTTTTAAACTAGCAAATCTTATGTAGAAGAAGGGAAATTCGAAGTGGAATTAAAGAAGGATGTTGAAGATCCTCAGTTGCTGCCAGTCAAGGCAACTCAAGTGACCTCAGTGGAGCAACTCCAACAGGCAGCTGGACACTGTCTTGCTGTCTTTGAGTGATGCGGGTTAAAAGCAATAGAGCTGCACTTGATGTTTCAGCATAACTGAATGTCACACATTTTCCTTAGCCCTAGATCCCATCCCACCGGACTCTAATCCCATACATCTACATCTGTTACCTGCAACATCCAGTCCATCATTTCACTGTGTCCCAAGGACCAAATAATATTTCCCCAGCATGCAGGTAAATACAGGTAGCTCCAGCTGTGAGTTGCCACATCATCAGCAAAGGGTGAGTGTGGGAACAGGGGCTCTACCCTGACTAGGCGTGGCTCTACCACCTACCAGTTTATTATACAAATGCTTAGGGTAATTACAGCTGGAATTGCAGCAACAGCTTTCTGTAAAGAATGACTAAAATAACTCATACTTGGCAAGAACCCACTTACACCTTCCTACCTCAAGGGGACAGTCAGGACACATTCTCTTATTCACCAACAAAAACTCTTGTCTTCAAACCAAGGTTACCTCCCTTCCCCTCTTGCTTATCAAAGCATCTAGTTTTATCACTCAAGGGAAATACCTAACACATTAAAACTAGAAATCAGCAGCAACTTTTGACATAAAGAAGCATTAGATTATATTATTTTTGTTCTTTAGTTAAAAGCTACTTTTCACAGAACATAGAATCAATTGGGTTGGAAAAGACCTCTGAGGTTATTAAGTCCAACCTCTGAGCCAGCACCACCATGTCAACCAGACCAGGGCATCAAGTGTCATGTCCAACCTTAAGCATCTCCAGGGACAGTGACTCCACCACCTCCATGGGCAGACCATTCCCACTTGTAGCCACCCTTTCTGTGAAGAAATTCCTCCTAGTGTCCAATCTATTTTCCTTCCAAATAATCTCATTGAGCTGGTATAACACACTAAATAACTAAACCTTGCTGCCATTCTACAGACCACACAAACCTTGAGCATGACTAAATCTTCCTTGACTCCCTCAGGTCTGTGGAAGAAGCTCTCTTCTGTCACAGTTAATCTACTCAGCCAATAATTTTCCACATTCCCTTTCCTATCCATGTACAAAAAAAATTGTTATATAATAAATTTTCTATAACAGTTCAGCTCTTCTAATCTCTCAGTGAAGTCACAACCTTACAAGGCTGCAGTTTGCTGCTGCAGGAGTGACTGACATGCTGCAAACAGGGCCCTGCAACCTGCCTTTAGCACATGGTAGGAAGGAAGAGGGACTGAGAGGCTTTGATCAAATGACACTTTTCCTTTTGTTTTAGAAGCATCATGTCAGTATAATGCTCCTCAAAGATGGGAGCCCCCTTTCCCCGTGGGTCTTGAACATCTTTGATAATGAGCAAAAGTGGCAAGGGAAATTATGAAAAATTCATGAAAGGCAAATGGGGCTTTGTTGAAGTCTGATAAGTTGGAAAATTATCCCAATGTGACATTCTCTTCAAGAAGATAAAAGAATCAAGAATAAGCATTATAAATTAAATTAGTGCTCCAATAAAAGAATTTCTGTCAAGTCACATTGCAATTATTGATTTGAGACCCCAAGTCCCTGCCTGAAGCATTACTGGTCTTCATACAAAGCTGTCCCACACTGCTCATTTTCTTCTTACTGATAAGCTGTGAGTTTGTATGAGACATGAACTTTGGCAGCACATAAAGAAGACATAAAAGCAGCATCAGGCAGAAACATCAGCTCTTACTCAAGCACAGTGCACTTGTGCTGCTCAACATCTTCACGCTTCTTTTGTATCTTTATCTCAACCGTAGACAGCGCCTCATGTTTTGCAGTGACCAGTCTCTTTAGGGACATTTCATCTGTCTTCACCCTTTTCAGCTCTATCTGAGCACTATCAATCTGGTCCTCCAGATTTCTGGCCTGGAGTACATAAGGACAGAAAAAAATTAAATAAGGGAAAAATAATCAAGACAACATTCCCTGTTAGTGTACTAAGATTAGAACTAGGTTGATGCTTTTTGAAAATCTGACTGCTGACTCATTCTCCCAGTGAAATACCAATTCTTTATCTGATTATAAATACATCCAAATGGACAAGATCCCATTACTTAGAATGACTTTCAGAAGTTACTGACTTCTGCTATAGCTCTTTGCCAAGGGTAATTGCAACACATGCTATACAAATACCCAAAGAGACTCCACAGCATTTTTCGAATGCTCCTAACAATTGCGTTCTCCCAAAACCAAGTAGCAAATAGCAAGGTACTGTATCGTGACAAACACTTCATCACAGAATGTCTGCCTTAGTAATATTAATAAAGGCATACAAGACATGACTCTTCCTGAAATAGAAATTTTTTTGCTCTTAGTTTCCACTCTCAAGGCAGAAGAAACTCGATTTGACTCTTCTTCTTCCATCATTTCTTACCAAAAAGCCCAAGACAGTTCAAACTATTTTAGGTCAGGTTTCTATGGCAACAAAGGCTTTGACTATTCAAAGTGGTCAATAGCCAGTGCATAGTACATTAGTTAGTGCCACACAGCAAAGCAGCAGCAATGTTTTACTGACATTATAAAGAACAGCATTTTTAAGTTATCCAAATTCCTTCTTTCCAGGGAAGAGGACAGACGGAAAATTTCACAGTACTAACATTTATTGATGGTCACCTGTCTTGCTTAGACATTACATTCATGCTAATCAGATGTAATTTTGGATAATACAAACCTCTGATAATACACTGGCCAGTCTCTCCACATTTGCTCCTTGCCTTTCCATCTTCTTTTTGTATAACTGCAACTCCAGTTGGCATGATGGCAGAATCTCAACTAAGTCTCTATAACTCTCATATTTCTGAGTAATTTCTTCCTTTAAAGAGAAAAGACTATTAATAAACAGCTTTGGAGTTATTCTATATAGAATTAAAGCATATTGACTTCTGAACCCATTCCCTCATTGTTTACTGGACACTAGAAGTAACATTTAACAGTTACTGAAATGAGAGCTTAAGTTTGTAAAAAATAAATAAACAAAAGGATTTATTTGGAATTACAGTGTTTTACACTGAACTAACTAGTTTGCTAAAAGAGCTTCCAAGACAGAACAAAAAGCTGTGAAGATATTCTATACTGGTAAAACAAGACTCTCATAAAGCATCATAAAAGCAGATACCTCGAATTACAGAAATAGAGTTTATACCTTTGGAACAAAAATACCTACAGAGGTATGAACAATCATGAACAACAGAAATTAAAAGACTGTATATTAAAATAAATTTAAAAAAAAGAAAAAAAAAAGCTAGGAAGGGAACTCAGTGATTAGCATACTAGTTGAGACAGCCATCAATTCCAGAAACAGTGAATGATAACAGAACCATTACATAGCACATATTCTAAATCCAAAGGCGTTCGGGAGCTGCCAAAGATTGTCGTTTCTTGAGAGCAAACAGCCAGACAGGTACATTACAGATTCAAGAGTTCTACATCTAGCCTTACAAACAAACAATTACTCATTGAGGAATAAGCAGAACTGACTGCAATCCTGCTTAAAAAAGAAAAAAAAATAAATATCAGCCCAAGCAAAAAACCCCCCCAAAACCAACCAACCAAAAAAAAAACCAACCAAACAAACAAAAAAAACCACAAACAAACAAAAAAACCCAACTCCATCATGAACCTTCAGTTCTCTGAAGTTATGATTTCATTTCGGACTAACCACTGTTCTGTTGCTGTTTTACTATATGTCATTCAAGAAGCAGTTCTAGATGACAGTTTGGTAAAACATGTGCTTTTTCTAACAGAATACCTCCTTGTGTGGACAGAGGAAGACCTCACCTTGGATTTCTTCAGTTTCTTAACGGTCTCTTTCATCTGTTCTTTGTAATTTTTCAGTTCCTCTGGACTCTCCACAATTTTTGATTTCAGCTGTTCTTGTTCTTCTTTCAAAGTAGCCATAGCCACTTTAAGGTCATTCTGGTTAACAAGACAAATGCACTTTCAATATTAGTAATTAGGTGAACAAAGAACTGTACAGCATTGTTTGCCAGGATCTTATAACTAGACAGGTTCTTTGCTCTGTAGTCATTTCTTGTTAAGGTTTTTATGAATAAATTCCTCTAAACAGCATTAACATTTCAAAGCAGTTAACAGTCCATTTTGCTTCCCTAACTTGTTTACAGGGTGCAATACTAAGTCACAAGAATTGCACTTAACTAGTACTCCACAAGGAGTCTGCCATTCCATCCTAGAATGGTTTGGGTTGGAAGGGACCTTCAACATCATCTCATTCCAACCCCCTGTCATAGGCAGGGACACCTTCCACAGACCAGGGTGCTCAGAGCCCCATTCAGCCTGGCATATTACTAGCAGCTCTCTCCCTCAGAATATCTCATTTAGGAAAACCAAGGCAGTCACTGGAGGGTTTCAGAGTCAGCTTTACTAGCCTGGTAGAAGAGCAACAAGTTTCCTGTGCAGTCTCTCAAAACCTCCTGTTTTGTCCCCACTGGGTCAGTGCTGCCTTATTAGCCCACTTTGTGCATTTGAGATAAGCCCATGGCATCTCAAAAGTCCAGATTTCTTGCCCTTGTTCAGTTTCCTGAACACAGAGAGCTTGACATTGTAGAGATGTGTATTTAAAGTTAACAAAACAAGCTACTGCAGTAAAGCTTCCATGAAAGGAAAAAATTAAGCCAAATAATTTTTTTTAGAAAATTAATGATCTGGTGATCATTAATCTGATCACTGATTAAACTGATTAAACTGAAAGCAACCTAGTTCCAAGAATGATTTGATCCTAGAAAGAGAGATGATCTATTAGTTGATTTAAGGTGAAAGCTACATCCTGCACCTACACAGGGGTGTACTCACCAGTTTTCGGGTATTCTCGGCAATATCAGTCTTCTTCTGCGAAATCACTTCTTGCAGAGCTGTCTAAAAAAGCAACAAGCTTTAAATAAGCATCTCTGCAACTGCTACCTGCTTTATCTTTCTATCAGACCTGCCTACAGGAGAAATCCCATTTATGGGTCCTTTGGAGTCTCATAACCAGCAGACAAAGCTGCAGTCTATAAGATTTTAAAGACAGGAAAGAAGAATGTTCTTGCAAAAGCCACTGGGAGCACTGGGCATGTAGCCAGCAGTAGGTAACTAGGAACAGGGATAAAAAGCCGACTACCTCTATTCCTACTGACCCCAATATTGTTATACCCCCACAACCTTCTTTGCCAGAGGCCCTGTTCTTCAGGAAAAAAAAAATCTAATTTAAGGTTCCAAATAATATAGAAGTCAAGCATATGGTTCATAATATTAATAGTAGAGACATGACTTGATATAACAAAAACCCCTAAGCGTGGATTATTACTTTTCTTTTCCCCCAAAGTTGATGAAAAGGTTACACATGAGACCTTAGAGGCAAATTTCCATTGCTGAACAGTTACTCCTGCAATTAACCCCACTCTTTTTGCCAGGCATTCTCTTGGGTAACCCTTCTTAGGTCTCATTTCTTGCCATGGCTCACCTCTAGTTCCAATTCTCTAAATTCAGATGGAAAACAAAGGGAAAAATATACATTACAGTTCTGAATAGTAACACAGGTATCCCCCAAAAGAAACACAGGTATCATTTCCAAAAGAAAGAGTCAAATATACTTTTGTATTCCCCAAGTCTGATTTCAAATATGTTTTACACTCCTTATAGCAAAATGTAGAGGGGTCAGATAAAGGTCATTGCAACACAATGCTGTAAGTCAGAAAATTCCCCTTTATCCTGTGTTACAGGGAATGGAACAAAAAAAAAAAAAAAAAAATTCAACAGAAGTGAGGAACATCCACAATCAGAAATCATAGCAGCATTTCAGAGAAATATATAACAAGATCATACCTGTTTCCGACGATACTCTTGCCTTAGCAGGTGCTCCAGTTCCCTAATGCTCTCTGTCAGCTGCTTGACCTCTTCTTGATGTTCAGCTGGAATGGTGCTAAGTGAGAAATTAATATATTGCATAGCTTCAGCATCATTACAATCAAGTCAGAGTACAGTAGATACAACAATCACTCTCTCCAGAGAGTTTACAGTCAGTAACTTTAGTAATCAGAGCAAGACAGACTTAAATTAATATATTTATTTTCCTTTGCTTGCAAGACTTTGAAGCATAATCTAAAGGGCTATTTTGGCAAGAAGTGGTACAAGCATAAAAGAGGACTAAGTTTAAAGATCACGTTAAGCAAAGCATAAAAGAACAACACTCCTATAAATTTTTGTAGTGATTTTCATTTACGAAATTTCATATTACCTGCCACAGAAACAGCTTGTTACAAGGTAGACCTATACTAGATAGAAAACCTCCAGCATAGCATACACCAAAAGCAGCTGCCAGAAAAAAATCTGTTTTGAAAGCTGTCTTGGAAACTAGCCATCTCTTCATCCTATTACGCACAAACAAAACCAAAACTTAATGGTGCAAATACTCAGGCAGTAGGACTAAATGGCTTGAAACAGAAATTGTGGCAAACAGGCCAAATAACTAAGGAAGATGACTTTATTCATCTATTAAGTTAAAAATGAGCTTCCTACAGCTATTGAAGAGAGACATCATTAGAAACTAACTGTAACAGCAAAAAGTTTCACCCTAGTCCCCAGTATACAAATAATAGGATTCTCTCAAAGTAGCCATATATTCCCAAACTCATTTTCATTCTCTGCCTGCAGAGAATAAACACCCACAGCTCCCTCAGATGCAGTCCAGATCCTTCAGCAGCTCCATTGCCCTTCTCTGGGCAGGCTCCAGCCCCTCAATGTCTTTCTTGTGAGGGGCCCAAAACTGAACCTGGGATTTGTGGTGTCACCAGTGCCCAGCACAGGAGAGCAATCACTGCCCTGGTCCTGCTGACCCAAGCCAGGTTCTATTGGCCTTCTTGCCCACCTAGGCTCATGTTCAGCTGCTGTTGACCAGCACCCTCAGGTCCTTTTCTGTCCAGCAGCTTTCCAGCTCCTTTTCCCCAAGACTATAGGACTACACAGTTATTATGTCACAAGAGCAGGACTACATACTTAATTGGCCTTGTTGAACCTCACACAACTGGCATTGTCCCATTGATCCAGCCTGAACAGGCAAGTCAAGTAGTGCTCTCCTGGTGCTTACTCCTCATACTCACTTCAGTTTCTCCAGCTTCATTGCTGCCTCACGATTCGCAGCCTCCAGTTGTTGGTGTTTCTCCAGAGCTGTTTTCTGCAAATTAAATATTCAGATGTTTTTTATTTTAGAGGAATATAGCTTCTCTCTGGGCATCTGTTAGCCTTGCTCATCATTATTTCACATAAAATGCTTCTCTGAACTACTGAGATATCCAGAAGAGAAGCCACCTACGATTCAAGCTTCAGCCCGCTGACCATTACACCCATCTTTCCTCAACAATGCAAGTGTCAATCCTTCCCTTACCAGGCTAAACTATCAAATAATTATTGGAAAAAAACCCCAACCCTTTCAATAATATCCTAAGTAGTAATTGGTATCTTCCTGTACTACTTGGCTACATTTAAAATCCCAACATGTCACATAAACATGAAGTTAAACCACAATCTTTATGCTCCCATTTCTAGGTTACCATTAATTATACTGAAATAGCTATCCTGGAGTAAAACAGCCCACAGCCTTACATAGTTCAGTTGTAACTCCAAGTAGACCTGACGCCGGAATTCTCTGAAGTTTACAAAGTTAAGGATGCCACTCAAGAAGCGAACAGTCCTCTTTGTTTCTGAAATAAGAATTGCAAGACATCATTGTGCTGGTTTCCATACGCATTGCAATTGCTTATGAAAATTTGGGAAAAATATAATTCAGAGAAGAGGCAGAAATTACAAGACAGAGTTCAAATTAGTTCTTCCCCTGCTCATCTTGGAAAGATTTCAGACTACACAAAAACCAGCACCAAGCTAGTTGTAAACTCTTAGCAGTTTTGTGGAATTTAGCAAATGAATAATGGCACCTGGGAAAAAGACTTAACACACAGCCTCCCATTAAAACAGAAGGCAGGGAGACAGAGAGTCAATCTTGAACTACAGCTCCAAAGAGAGAACCTCTCTGTAACTTTTAGACTGACTCAAGGCAGCAATTTGAACTGCAGGGATTTTTGGGCTTTATTCCAAGGAATGTGAAAGACTATTACAAATATGTTTTATTCAAGACAGATCCAGAAGTGAAAGAGTTCTTAATGACAACTTCTTCCAGGTTGTTTGTGTCATAGAAGAGTCATCACAGCTGGGTATTGAAAAGGGTGAAGCAAAAATCCAATCACTTCCTACACAGGCCTCAGCATAAGAAATCCTACAGAGTTTCAAAGTTGTCAGGGTAATTTTCATTACCATTTATTTTTACACTATTTTAAGTGTGTCACAGTCCACTCTCCAGACCAGCAGTTCAACAACTCATAGCATAGCAAAACTGCCCTAAGTTATTGACCTGGCTCAGCCTACAAAAGGAATAAGAACTGCTCACTAGAACTAACTTGTCTAAGGACCACAGTAAGGGTCAGAAGAGCAGCTGGAACCCAGGGACCATACTAGATGTCCATCTGGTTACGCCAAATAAAAAAATAGCACCTGGATATTAAGCAACACCCACCACTCCAGGAAACCCAAGAATTATAGTGCACTTGCTTACTTGGGTTTAAAACATCAGCAATTTGGAAATCATTAATCCGGCATACCGGCAGCAAGCGCTCCCTGCAAGGAAAACAAAACACACCTCATGTGTGGTGACCATTACCCAGTTTTTGTGCTGCAAACATTTACTACAAAACAGATATTTCCTCTCATCCCAGAGCATTTGCACAGCAAGCACAAGTCTCAGAAGAGTAACAAAGCAGGACTCCACACACTGATGAGCATTAATAGTTTGCATTCTTACAGCATCTCAGATGTTTCAATTGACAAAATATTTGCCTGTAGAACAACTTTTCAGCTTAATTAGGGAACTCCTACACCTAACTATTAGTCAATTCTCCCCTTACAACTGAAATAAAGCTTAAAGTCTAACACTTACATGATTTCAACAGACTTCAGACAGCAAATTTCCACAACAGGAACTTAAGATCTTTGCTTTAGGTAACGATGGCCTTCCAGCCACTCCAAGGATGGATTTGTGCTCCGATCTTGGTGAGGCTAAATTATTTAACCCATTCATTTAGGAATTTTACTCTATCAAATATTGCTGCCCCTGTTCATCTGCAAATTTAACTTTGCTCAGAGCCAGCAAGCAGTGGAACCACCATCAGCACAAAGGCATAAAAACCCAAAACTTAAAAAAAAAAAAAAATGGACTTTTACAAGAAACGGCAACTGAATAGATGTAGCATCTTTTACTTACATATGAATATACAAATTACAGACAGGTAGAAAGCCTTCATATATCTGTGGATACATTATATCAACGCTGACTGGCATCTAAAGAGTAAAGAGAGTCAGTGCATAAGTAGAGAATACTTATAACAAAAATTACACAGGTTTTCACAGCATAAGATAATTCCAATAGGTTACACGCTCTGAGGATTGTCTTCCCATCCACAGGGAACACATATTAAAGGCTGAAAAGTGTCATCAAGTTAATCAGCAGACTACTTTAAGTGTCATTTTTGGCTGGAAAACATACAAGACAACAATAACTAAAGCAGCAACACTGCAAACTCTGGAATTCAACCAACTCTACTTTAATTTGTTCATAACTGGTGCAGGACAACAGTCTCTGCATTACACACCTACCATCAAGAAGCTTTTTCTTTAAACACCCCAAAATTGACACTTAACTGTTTTATGAGGAAGTCAAAATGAGAAAGTAGTGGTACACTGTCACATTTTTCTTATACTTTAAATCTCATGATACAGTACCCCAGCTAATGTCATGGCCTGTGAAGAACAGTTACCTTGTGCACATAAACTGAAAGGGAAGAGCATATCCAAAAATGCCATGAGAAACAACACTGTTCTCATTTTCAGGCATCTGTTCTTGCCTAACATAGACAGAAGACCAAGTACCTTGTTCATTAAGAGTTATCAGTCTCTCCTTACTTTCCTCTCAGTTAATGGAGAATGGAGATGAGCAAATATCAAAAGCAATACTTACTTTCCTTTTAGATCAGTCCAACTTCCTCCAGCTGAGCCCAAGGCAGAAGCCCAAAATACACAATATGTATTTTCAGTGCTGGACATGGTGTCCCTTCATAAGCTTGTCCAGTCCTTCCTGGACCTTACAGACATTGCTGGCACCCTCAGCATCTCAAATAACAAAATTCACAGCTTAACCACAGAAGGAGACAGCTCTCCAAAGCCTGTCCTCACAGCTTACAGAAAGTGTAAGTGAGCTCCTCCTCTTCATGCCCACTAGTTCCTGTAGTGAAGCAGGGAGTCCACTTTACATGGCAAAAGAAAAAAAGCAAACCTAGAGGCAGCACAGACACAAAACCATTATTCCTACAGATCTCTTGAGCTGAAATTAATTTCCAGATGAGGAGCAATGACCAAAGCAACTACTCAAGGCCTCAGCAACAGCCCACAGATGATGCTCCCAGGTTCATTTACCTCTGGTTAACGACCCATGCCAATGGCTGTCCTGCACTTCTGCAATCCCATTCCTCTCTAAGAAACTGCCCTGAACACAAACACCTGTGGCACCTCACACACAACACCACCTCTGTTGTTTCTGCAACAGAGGCAGAATTCCTAAGCTCCCATTGCTGCAATTACAACACACAAAACAGCAGGCTGCTTGCCATTTACTAGTGAGAAGGCAAGAGTGAGATACTTCAACACTTGTTAAAGTGAATATTCTTTTCCTTTCACATTCCATTACTCTGCTACCAAAGCCATACCATGTAGAAGTGCTCCAGTCCAATTCCATACACTTTCTGAAGGATTCTCATGTAAATCAGGTGTAAAACTTCAAGCTGCAGGAAGAAAAGACATGAATCACTATTCCATATTTTTTATTATTCAGAGCTCCCAGGCTAGGCCATAAAATTAGTTCAGCCTTTAACACAGGGATGCCGATTTCGCTGAGCCACCAAGACAAATAAGTTTAGCTTTTCAATAGTTTGCAGTTCAAGCAATACTTGCTCATGATTCAGTTTTAAGGGACAGCAGGTAGCTCAGACAAGTACAGCTCTATGTATGCCAGGCCCAGTTTTCATTACATTATTGCTCACTAAGCAGTTTTCAAACCAAGTGGAAAAAAAAAAGGAACCTAGAATCTTGTAGCAAAGAGCGCCCTTCATCACAATATTAAAACAAAAGGGAAAAAAATATCTATAACCCAAATAGTTTTCCATTTATAGCTCTAATCCATTATCAATTTTGCTTCTTAAAAATCATCATCCTGTCATTTTTTAAGCAGTTAGGGCCAGACTCCTCTCTCCACAGGCAAAAGCACACGGAGCCACCTTGAGGCATCAATTTCACTTTAAGGCCACTTTTCTTCCGCTGAGGACACACACTAACAGCAACATTAATGGTCAGAGCGACACAGGAAGAAAAGGGTTAAGCAAGGAGGGGTTTAGAAGCGGAGGCCGGTTTAAAGCACTAATTTATCAACCAAACTGTTGGAACACTGGGACTTTACCGAACACTGCAGCTATTTTAATCCAGGTCCCACAGAACTGGGAAAGACAGGCCGGGTACTGTGATGACACCACCCCCACTTACTGGCGGGACCCGAGAGACGAGGAGAGCCCCGGGACTCCGAACGAACCCCGGAGCACCCACTCCGCGGTGATAAGGGCCAGGGTAGCGCCCTATGATGCACGGGGAGGATGGAGGGGAGAGACAGCGAGCTGCCCCGCGGCGCCTCACCCACCTTGGGGGTGCCGAACAGGTCGCCCTTGACCAGGTTTCGGCCCTCGGCGCCCGTCAGGACGTAGGTGCGGAGGGAGTTGATGATCTCGTCGGGGCTGTAGCGGGGGAAGGTCATGGTCTCCATGGCGGCAGCAGAGCAGGAACAACCCGAGCCCGGCACAGCCACAACGGCCGCACCACCGCTTGAATGTGCCGCGCACTGCACCGCCCCACCTGCCGGCCTATCAGCGGCAGCGCCGCCGCCGGGGGGGGCAGGGCTTGGGGAGTCCCCGACCTATCCGCGGCCGCGCCGGGCGGGGGGGGCGGGGCGTGGTTTGTCGAGGCCCCGCCCCCGCCGCGGCCGTTGGCAGTGAGGGGCGGGGTGGGCCGCGGCTGTCGCGGGCTGTGGAGGATCGTGAAAACATCACAGCGTGGTTTGGGTTGGGAGGGACATTAAAGGTCGTCTCGCTCCAAGCCCCCTGACATGGGCAGAGACACCTCCCAGTAGACCGCGTTGCTCCAAGCCCCGTCCACTCTGGCCTTGGACACTTCCAAGGATGAGGCAGCCACAGTTTCTCTGGGCAACCTGAGCCTTATCACCCTCACAGGGAATAATTTCTTCCAAATATCTAATCTTAAGCTCTCCTCTTTTAGTTTAAAAGCATTCCCCCTTGTCCTACCACTATCTGCCCATGTAAAAACTCCCTCTTTTCCATAAACCCTGAATAAGGCTTAAGTAATAAGTACTGGAGGGCTGCAATGAGGTCTCCCCAGAACCTTTCCCAGACTGAACAACCCCAGCTCTATCATCCTGTCCCCTTCCTTTACCAGAGTTGCTCCAGCCTTCTGGGCATCTTCATGGCCCCCCTGGACCCACTCCAACAGGTCCACATCTTCCTTGTGCCCAGGATCCTGGACCTGGACACAGCACTCCAGGTGGGGACAAGAACCTCCTGGCTCCTGCCATAAGATAATGCCAATCCAGTGCAGCATTGCACAGATCTCTTTCCTAATCAGTAACCAGTGAGCACCTCCTGCATTGTGACACTATTTCTGACAAAATTTGTACTGTTCACTGCTCTCCCTACACAGTTTCAGTGCTCTTATCGCACACACAGCTTCCCGCACCTCAATGCAGCTGGAAGCAGGTTAGCAAGGTCACGGCACTGTCCTCGAAACCAGGCAGCTTCTGCAAGCCACTGACACGGAGGTGTCACCTGGCAGAGACGCTCCAGCCACTGTTCCACACTTGTCGATGTAAAAACCAGGCTCAGTTTCCAGCTGGGCGCTCTGCCAAGGGGTCAGATGAGCCACAGACACAAAGTGCTTCCCAACAGCCTGGCAGCTGGACATCTCCTTGGCATGGCTGTGAGGGTAGCGCAGCTTTCATAGGGCAGCTCGCAGCCCCCAAAGGGCTGAGTGGTCTGGAGTGTCTCAAACCATGCCTCCTTTGGGTAGATTGTGGCCTCTGAGCCTCATGGTTTATTTTGGGATAGGGATGGCATCAGAGAGGATCAAGTGTCCGAGCAGGTGTAGCTGTCAGTATCTGGAAGTGAACTGCACTGGGCAGCAGTTCCAGGAGTTCCCTGCAGACATCCCTCTGGACACCAGGCAGCTGATTCTGGCGGCAAACAATGTCTCGTACCTGCCAGCAGTGGAATTGAGCTTCCTGGCTGATTTGGTGTACCTGGACTGCAGCAAGAACCTCTTTGGGGATGACCTGGATTTCACTTTCATTGGCATGGTCAAGCTTGTCTATCTGGACCTCAGTTTCAACAACCTCACCCAGGTCACCTTCAGCACCTTCTCACACCTCGTCAGCCTGGTGGTGCTGAAGATCTCAGACAATCCCAACCTTGTGGCCATCGAGAAGGATGCTTTTGCCAACAACACCTGGCTGAGGCACCTGGACGTGAGCCGGACAGGCTTAACATTCCTGGACACCAGCACCGTCCAGCACCTACCCAACCTGAAGTTTCTGGGGCTCAGTGACAACCTGTGGCACTGCAACTGTTCCTTTTTGGACTTCATTACCTGGACAATAGAGAGCAACATTCATTTTCCAGGTGAGGGCTGTGTGAGCAGAACCTCTCTCCTCCCTACTTCCACAGATCTCTGTGGAGCGGAGAAGGTTCTCTATTCTCTTTGCCCAAAGTTCAGTTTATGGGGCTGTGCCACTGCATGTCATCTGAGGGTTCCATCTTCTGCTGTTACACAAACCAGGGGTGGGAGCAGTTGGGTTACACACCATCCAAAGTTGGGTTTCATGCCCTCCGCACATGGAGAGTCATACTTGCTCACATCCTCAGGGCAGTCAAGGAGGTGTAGGCTGTAGGTGGGATATTGCTGCTGCTCTAAAACATCTGGATCCAGACTCAGGTGTTCCCGTGCCTGTGAGTCATCGCACCCCATGGCCACAGTGCCAAGAATGAGGATCCTAACAGAGCTCTGGGGAGATGTACACGGGGAAAACTGCTGCTCTGAATTTCCTGCCTTATCTCCATCCCAAAATCAGCTGTTTCCCATCATATTGAGTGATTCTACAACTGGGCCATGGACAGGCTGAGGCAGGGTGATCACCAGCTGCCTTTCCCAGAAAAATGCTGGTCCCAAGGGCAAAGCTTTGTTCTGCAGCTGCAGCACATGAACTTGGTATTTCTAAACGGAAAAGAAACAGCACAGCATGGCGAAAAGAGGAAAGCTTTGGTTTCAGTAATGCAGGACATGACGGTGAGAGAGCTACAAGAGAGAAATTGTTTGAGAAAGTCTGTCCATTGAAAAAGAAAGGGTCACAAAAGAATCCAAGGGGAGAAAAGGGAAGGGCAAATAAAAGCTGGTGTTAGGAAAGAATCCAATTAAAGATATCTCTGTGTCTTCATTAGATGAAGCTCCCTATAGGAAGTAAAGTGGGGTTTTTTCCACATACAGGTTACAAGCAGTTATGGAACAGTGTAATAAAGTACAGTTCTTTGCAGTGAGAGTAGAGATAACCCACTGAACCCTGCAACAGGAGATTAAAGGTCATTGAAGGCAACTTGGGAGGGTAGGAGTAGGAAAGGCAGTGATAGTAAAGACTGGAAGGTATGAGTATGGATCCCTACCCTGCACTCTTGAAAATGGGAAGGCCAAAGAAACCAAGGAAGCCACAGAGGTTGTTTCACTTCCCTGCTCTGTTGGACTTTGCTTTGTCCTGGTGAGATGCTGCAGGAGAGTCCACAGGAGGCTGTGTGTCTCCAGGAGGGCTGCTGGAAAGCATGCACAGGATGGACATCCTGTATCACAAACACATGGGCAGGGAAAGGTAGCCCTAAAGTGAGGGTTGTTCCAGGGGCTGCTTGCTCCACTGCAAAGGGACATGGGAACAGCGCCCTGGAATCTGCTGCAAGAAGATCTCCACCCTGACCTTCAGAAAGCTACTGATGTTTCACAAATGCCTGTGCACCCATGTTTTGGGCTCAGCTGGATCTGTGCAGCCTAGGGGTGGACACAAAGCTGCCCAAGTTTGGATGGATTTGGGTAATAGAGGAACAAAAGCTCTCAAGTTTTACGCAGGACCATTACAAAGATCAGTGTGAACAGCAGTGATGTCACTCAGCCATATACAATACAATGTCATGTGATAAAAGTCTCCCATGGCTCATTCCTCTCCACTGCTCCCTTTCCCTTAGGCACTTCCATCCTGTGCCCCACACAGTGCCCAGCCTGTGTCCAGCACAGTGTCTGGGGGGTTCCAAACCTGCAAAGGAAGGAGAGGGCCATGGCTGAGGGCACACCCAGCTTCCATAAGGCACCCCACTCACCCTTCACTAACTTGAGAGGGAACAGCCAGCATCTCTTTTATCACTGCAGGTATTCAATATGACAGGATACAGTTGTTTCAGTGGAACTGAATCACTGATGAATTGCCTCTGCCTCTCTCACAGAGCAGGTAAGGCTGTGCCTAACTGCAAACCACTCTAGTTGTCAAATGAGCAGCAGCCTCATTATTCCAGCATAATTTAGGCTGTATCACTTCAGAATGTGTTTGAGAATGAGAAAACCAACACACACAAGGGCTCTCACATGAAGATGAATGTGCTCAATCTGCAGAGGTGAGCGGTGCAGGGACAGCAGTTTGCTGCAGTGGCGTAATCCAGTGGGCAATATTTTCCTGTGGAGGCAACACCACAGAAATCATTCTGGCAACCCAGGAATTGTGGTTTGGCAGGGGTTTGGCTGTTCAGATTTCACCCAAGCCACAGAGACAGAGGGGTATGAAGTGTGTAGATGTTTTTCAGGCATTGTGCAAACTCCTCCACCATTTCTCTAGCAGGACTTCTGTTCACTAAAGCTTTAGACACAGGCCGGAGAGCCTTATTCTGCTTCTCCCTCTGCAGATGCTGACAACATCACCTGCTATACCCCAGAAGGCCTGCGAGCCCTGGGGATGCCGGCAGCGGAGGCACAGCTTCACGTCAGCTGCCTGACCCAGCTATACAAGAGAGACTATGTCTTTCTGTGCCTCGTTGGCTTCTGCATATTCCTTGCTGGCACCATTACAGCCTGGCTGGCCGGCATCTGTGCTGTTATCTACAAAGTCCATGGTTCAAAGGGAGAGGAAGAGGAGGAGAAGGAGGAAGACACAGCCATTTAGGACCAGCCCTTCTGAACTCCCATTGTGGAAACCAAAGGCAGGCCCTTCCTGCCTGATTTTCCCACATGATGTCCCATTCTAGATGCTTTTTTTTTTTTTTTTTTGGAAGTGAAATAAAACTGCAAGAGGAGGAAGTCTCTGATATCTATTTTCACTTGCTGTACTACTACCTCCATTTTTCTCCTGCCACTGGGACTGAGGACACGGGAAAAATGTTAATTTTGGAGGGGATAGTGAGAGATGTGCACAGTGCCAGGCATTTCTACTCCTACTTTACTATGAGACCACAGAAGAGTAGGGGTACAGGAACTGGCTTGACTGCAATACGGGAAAGGCCCTGGCACTGTGCTGTAGTTAGGGATGTCACCAGGCTCTTCCTAGCCAAAAAGATCAGCAGAGCTTACTGGGACCAGCCTAGAGAGCTTACTGGAGTTGCAAGGAATCCAAGAACTTTCTGCTGTGGAAAGGCAAATAAGTTAAAAACAGGACTTTTAGGGGTCCGGGTTCCCACTGGTTCCTACTTTTTTCCCCATTACACCAGTGACAGCAGAAGAACCCTCTATCCCTCTGCAGCCAGACCACCTGTATCTCCTCCACTGAGTTATGTGCATTTACAGAACTGAAAAGTCCAGCTCTGGTTTGGTGTCACATAATCCTAAAATTGGAATTTTTTTTAAGTAAAAAATACTGCTTACACACTCTCCAAGTATTCTTGGAAATGGCTTGTGTGTCCATACCAAAGTGCCAGGATTGCATCTACAGACCAGAATAAAGCAATATGTAAAAAAACCTCTTTCCTATCACTGGCCCTGGGAACTGCCAGGGGAAGTACCTGCCTAAACGACCAAGCACGGCAGCTCCACGAGTGAAACACTGTCTGCTCCATCTGACACTAGCAGAGTCTGATGAAATAAAAGGGAAAAGCAGGAGATTTCAGCAAGCACCGTACGAATTACCAAATTTAGAGCCATTAAACTGTAGACTCTCAGAACGAGAGCCGAGATCTGTCTAAGCTATAATGGGTATGGCAGAAAGGGCGAGGAGCGGGATAACGATGTCTGCGTGTGCTGGGGACACACGTAGAGCTGCTGGGGCACACTGGCACGGCAAATCTCTCTGTAGAGCCACACGGATGGATCCCTGTTCCACTCTTCTCTCGCAGTGAGACTGATCGTGCCTGGTCGAGCCCCGGGCCCCGCCTGCGGGCGGTGCTGCGGGCGGCCCGGCCCCGCTGCCGCTCCAGTTCCGTCCCCGGTTACATCCCCGGCTCGGTCCCCGGTTGCGTCCCGCAGCGCGCCCAGGGTGAGTGCGAGGCCGGGCACCTCGGTAGCGTGGTCGCGGGGACGAGGGGGATGCTTCTAGGGCTTGGTTATGCAGGTTGTCCCGATGGACGGTGGGGAAAATGGAAGGAGCGCCGGGGACATCCTCCCACGCGAGAGAGGCTCCGGGGGAAGGTGGCTGTGGGACGAGCAGGCCACGGGGCTATGCCTGCCCCCCAGCACGGGCGGCTTAGGCTGAGCCTGGCCCCGCCTGGTTTGGGAGGGCTCAGCCCTGGGAGCGAACGGGGGGGACGGAACGACAAAGGGTTCTCCTGCCTCGAGAGAAAGCCTGGAAAGTTTGAGATTAAACCGGGAAATCCTGTCAGAATCCGCGCGTGGGTCTGCTCAAGGAGCCTTAATGCACTTTGCTGACTCACAGTAGCTTCAGTGTTATGGCAAATTTGGGAAGAACCCTTATTCTGCAGTAAAAGTACCTCCGGTAGTACTTCTGCTCCCACTGTGTGCTCTGTCGTGCTCCAGAATCTCTTGTTCGCGTGGCTCCAGCCTGAAACATCTCTGGATGGAAAGTAGAAATTGAGTCTCGTGCCCGTGACGGTGCATGGCAGCAAAGCCCTTGCAGCTGGGGACAAAGGTTGCTGAAACACTCCGGGCACCAGAATCCGGAAACGATCATGGGGGAGAGGCAGAAAGTCCTGGGTGACTTTGGAGTGCTTTATATGGCTCCAAATTAATAGAGCAAAGGCTTGAGGTACACTTTTATACCACTAGTGTAAGAGTAGCATAATTGTATAACTCAACTGGCTTAATGCTTTGCTGAGTTCTGCTCCCAAAATAAACCCCCAGATTATAATCTAATGCTGGAAGATAAAATGCCTGGTTCTCCAACAACCTTGTTATTTGAATGGGGAAATGTGACCATCAACCTGCTCTACTAGGTGGGAACATGTTCTGTTTTCAGTATGTCATCTGTCAAGTGCTAACCTTAATTACAGGTGCATGCCATTGACTCTTCTTTATTACTTGGGGCTTTTAATGTTCTTACTGATAATATTTTACCAAACTTCATGTGGACAAAGCCAGCTGTTTTCTTCACTTTGCTCCAGCAATAATAATCTCTATGCAAATGAGAAATAAAGCCCTCTGGTCCCCGAAGATTCCTTGTGAGAGGTGCAGACATTGCTGCAATAGGAAGGCTGTTTGTGCTGGTTCTCTGAGGTGGCCTGTTTTTCCCCACACTGACAGATTGAGCTGGGGGCAGAGAGCAGGAGACACCAAAACCTCACTATATCCTGGAGTCACCATCTGGAGACAGGCGCCAACTGGTGTTTGGTTTGCAGAGGGAATTATCTTGGTACTGGAGGGAAGTCTCTCCTGTCTTCTGCTGAGCTGTGTCATGCAGCACCCTCTTAGGTCACCCAGAAAACCTCTAAGGTTTGGGATTGTGCAAGAGAGTTGTGGGGAAGGGCCCTTGTCCTCTCTTGTTCTGGGAGGGAGCTGGAGTGCTCTGTGTTGCGCAGGGCAGGCTGATGGTGGGATGGGCAGAGGGAAATAGGGAGAACATGCAATGCTGGCCAGCATGGCAGAGGCTGCAAGATGCTCCCCTTGCTCCGTGGTTCTGTCTCAGGCTGCCTGAGGAAGCACAGAACTGTTAAACAAAAGCCATAAAGGCCCTGGTATCTCCTGCTGCAGAGTTGCTTGTGCAGACGTTGGTAACTATCAGCAGCTGTGTGTTGTTGGGGCTGGTCACCGATTCCTGACTGAGAGAGCTGCTGGGAGCTGTGGGGCTGAGCATTGCTCGTCCAGCCAGTGCCTCTGTACTCAAAAGGTTCGCTTACTATTGCCATGGGGGTGAGGTTTATTAGTCTTCACCTTAGTGGAACAAAATAACCATTCATATGTAGCCCAGCTCCTTTCAGCTCAGGGGGTTTCTGAGCCAGTTTGTATTTCTCTGTATCCTTCTTTCCAATTTACCTCTTCTTCCCAGAGCTTGCCCACTTTCCTATTGAATTTATGAGGACTGCCTGCATTCACATTGACCCTTAGCAAGGAGTTCCACAGGTCAGGTTCCCACTGCATGAGAAAACACCTGTCTTGGTTTGTTTCCAGTGTGTTCCCTGACTTCATTTGGTGGTCCCTAGCTCTGGGGTTGGAAGGGACCATGAGCAATCAGGTTTCTTTCCCTGTCTCCAGAGTATCCCTGCAGCATAGAGTAGCATGAGCTGATGGGACACAGCTGTTGTCCTGCTCAGAGCCACAGTCTGGACTGGTGTCCTCCAGACATCACCTTCCACCAATGCTTAGGTGATTTTAAGGCTTGCCTGAAGGAAATGTGCAGAAAGCTCTTGCTTTGTGCTGCTTAATGCCCAGCTGGCTCCAAGAGCTGAAAATTCTCCCCCACTCACCATTTCTCTCTTCCTTCAGCCAGTCCCCGTGCTGGGAGGTCTTGGATCCGTGCTCAGCAATTCTTCCATGCAGGCATATCCGTGTGCCGCATGCTGCCATGTCGCCAGTCACATGCCAAAATATTAACCTGCTCCCTCTCTCTGACAGCACCAGGATGGCTGTTCTCTCCAAGGAGTATGGCTACGTCATGCTGACTGGGGCTGCCAGCTTTGTCCTGGTCATGCACCTCGCTGTGAAGGTGGGCAAGGCCCGCAAGAAGTACAATGTGGAGGTGAGAGCTCAGGTTGAGGGGATAGTGAGGTCAGAGCCTGTCTCCTGCGGGTGCTGCAGACAGGCTAGGGGACACCTTGCTTATTTTGGGGTGACTTGCTGACACTTCCTGCCCCACCACACAGATGCAGAAGGGATGGAGCTGTCATGGCTCCCCAGACAGCACTCAGACAGAGCTCAGGATTTGGGACATCAGGCACTTGGCACCAAGCTGAGACAGCTTGGCAACACCAGTGGGCAAGAAACCACAGGGCTGCAAATACGGCATTGGGGGGTAAAGGAGTCGTACTAGAACAAAAGTGACAGGACGGTTTCTCAAACTCAGGCGAGCCCGTGAGTCCTGTCACAGGAAGCGTTTCAAGGTGACCTTCCCTCAGCATCCACTGAGGAGCCTCTAAGCTGGGCAGGGCTGTAGGTTGGGTGGGGTCAGCCAGTCCTGCTGTGAGTCAGGGCAATGGCATGCAGAGGCTGCTGTGCCACTTGGCTGGAGCACAAACCCTCGAGCTCCTTTGCTCTTTCACCACAGAAACGGCAAGCAGGGGTGGCCACAAGGACAGCCTGTTGGGGTGATCCCACTCCTACTACATTAAGTCAGGATTGTAGCAAATGTACCCAGTGCACGTGGTGCACAGAGGGCTGGATTTGAGGCCTGGGGAAGCCTCTGCAGCCAGGCAGCAGCTCCAGCGGTGAGGAAGGTAGTGACCTTCAACACAGCTTTTGTGGGCCATGGGGCAGGAGACAGGCTCTAACCTGCCACTGCAAGTCAGTCTTGCAAGCACCCAGGCTGCCCTGGGGAGAGGTGCTGCAGCACCCTCTCTGCTGGAGAACAGGCTCCCAAGCCCAGACTGTGCCTGCTCATGTTTTCCTGCTGGTTTATATTTTTGGCAGTATCCAACCATGTACAGCACAGACCCTGAAAATGGGCGTATCTTCAACTGCATCCAGCGCGCACACCAGAACACGTGAGTAACATGTACAAACAGAGGCCTAGAGACACACAGGGCTGTGGGCAGGGCCCACAGCAACAGAGGTGCTGCTGCCACATGCTCCAGTTCAGGCTCAGTGCTTGAAGACTACACACAGCCCTGTAACGCTTAGCAAAAAGGCTGTGCTGGCTCCTTCCCATGCCTTAAACTGTGAGATGGGGCTGTGAAGCAGCCTCCTCTTCCCCAGGTCCCAGCAACTTGCTTCCATGGGTGGATCTTAAGACACAAGGAATCTTGTTTCCTGAAGAGCCTGCCTGGGTCTCCTGGGGAAGAGGCCAAAGTCAACCCCACTCCTGTGGACAGGCTACAACAGCACATCAGAGGGGTGCTGGAGACACAATTCCTGGCTGATGTTTAGCTGTGGCTTAGGGCACAAAATGGAAAGAGTGGGTGGGTGGCCTAGGAGAGATGCACATGCTGGGGAAAGTCCCTAAAAGCCTGTGCATGCTCAGATCCCTTCTTAGTCAGAGCATTGAGCACAGAGACTCATAATAGGCCCAAAGAGCCCTTGGGAGGGGATGTTTGCAGCTTCTGCCCTCCGGAATTTCCTCTTTGTAAGCAACTTGAGCACAAACACCACCTCTTCACTTTTATTTTCAGATTGGAAGCTTATCCCGCCTTCCTGTTCTTTTTAGCCACCGGTGGAATCTACCACCCGGTAAGTGACACTGTGGTCAGGTCTGTGTGTCAAAACTCGGCTCTTGCTGCCTGACTGGGGCAGGAGGCCAAGTTAGCCCCTTTACTGGCCACAGCACAGCAGTGCCCCTTCTAAAAATGTACTTGTGCAGGGGAATCACAGGTATTTAATAAACTCATTACTGCCATTTCAGCTACTAGGCCCCTTTCCTTCCCCTAAGGGTGCCTTGCTGGACAAAAGGGAAGCATTCACAGCCTCCAGTCCACAAGTGGGAAGGGTCCCTCCATCCTTCCCTGCCTGGTTCTTCCAAGCCCTGCCCAAGGAGGTCAAAAAAGCCTGGATTATTTTTAACTGAAAGATATAGACAACTCAGGAGGAAGCAGATGTTTGGGAAAGGCCAACACCTTTGTCTTTGCCCCCAAAAGACAAACCAGGTCTTTCCTGAATACTCCTTTTTGGAGAGGGAAGGAAGCAGCATAGGCGTATCTGGAAAATGGGAGCCAACTATAGATTAAGAGGCAAGGTGGAAGTTTGGAACACCTCCTGACCCAGGGCAGCAGCTGCCTCCAAGATCCTGGCCCTTGGTCTGGGCTCACCAACTGGACAGTGGTGAAATGAGATTTGGCACATGCTGCCTGCATGACTTTGCTCAAGTCTCCAAAACTTTAAAGCTTTTCCTTTCTCTCCAGCGGGTTGTCACAGGGCTTGGTATCACCTGGATCATTGGGAGAATCCTTTATGCCTATGGCTACTACACAGGAGGTAGGTCTTTACCCTGCAGCACACAGCGGGTGTGTGGAATCTTAAGTCTCCTACAGTGACCTTGGGGCTCTGCTCCAGCCTACAGAAGGGAGGCAGCATAAAGCTTCCGGTAGGGTGTGAAGGAAAGGGTGCAGGTCCACAGGCTGCTAACACTGCAGCACATTCTTCCTGCTGATAGGAAGAGCACTCATCCAAGAGGGATAGATATGCTAATGAGGGCAGGTACAGGGCCTGGGATTTATCTTTAGTTCCTGCTCTGCCTTCAGTTTCCAGGATGGGTTAGTCTCTCTCTCAGTGATGGGCTGCTGAACTGACAAAACCTGCCTTTTTTCCAGATCCCAAAAACCGAAGAAGAGGGGCCATTGGCTCAGTGGCACTCATTGGGCTACTGGGCACAGGAGTGTATTCAGCCTGCCAGCACCTGGGCTGGGTCTGTCAAGGGGAAGGCTGCCCCAGAAGCTAAAGGGAGTTTTGTTCTGTTTTCTTC